AGGAATGAGTCCAGGTGATTTTGAGTAACTATACAGAGAGAATCTGAACATATTGAGGAGAGAAAGTTTATATCTTCATAAAAGTTACACCAGTGTAACAAAAACCTGTTTTTTAATGGCTGGAGTTCAACTGATGCAACATGCTCAAAGTGGCGGATGTCTGGCTCACAGTGAGTAACACAATTTTTATATCGCTGAGGCAATGTCTTACCTTGTTAGTTCATCAAAGCTAATGTGGCTTGTGTCTGGGAGCCTAACAGATATCTCAGGGCTGTTACAAGTGGGACCGTTTAGCCTAATGGCCTTGTCCACAGAAGCTGGGTTACTTGAGGTGCTAGCTTCAGCAGCCAACTGCTTTAAAATCAAACCTGTTTGTTGCCTGATGTCACTGACATGCTGCGTAGCTATGTGTCTGTGAATGCTGGAGAGGTCTTTGAACATTTGCCTGCAGCATTTCCACCATGCTCCCTCCCCGCAGATGGTCGAAGGGCAGTTAGCTGTGGCTGGCACTTCCTTCGTTTTAACAAAGAGGGCAAATGCCTGCAAATCATAACATTCCATCCATCAGACTTGTGATTCTGTGAAACAATCTCTCATGACCCAAATCTAGATGAAAGACAAAGCTTGGTGACTGATAATCTATCTGGTGCTTTAACTAGGCTTCACAGTTACTAGGTATGTTTGGTTAAGTAATTACCTTGCAGTTCTCCTCAGAGTCCTCACTTTTGATGATGCTTTTAATCTAACCTAATAAGGATCTGAGTCTCCTTGGAAACAGGTCCTATGATAACATGGAAACTGAGGGAGCTCAGGATTTCATTTTGGGAACACTGACAGGGTTAGGCCCAAAGCCACTAGAGAAACAAAAGAAGCATTTCCCATGCTTTTCCCCTTCTTCTGCTTGCCTCAAACAATCATGCTATTTCCAACCTTTACTCACAAGACAAAGCATCAGAATGATATTCCCTGTACTCTGATGCCTCTGGCTAATGCTAATATATAATAGGTGGATATAAAAATCAGCAACAGCTTTGCAGTTCTAGCTCCACTCAGTCACTTTGGGGGCAACTGAGATTCGTACTTTAATTAGAACCCTGCTCTCACAGACGAACCTCCCCTGTGCCTTCTGGGATCCTCCATAGTGCCACAGTCTTAAAATGCCCCTAAAACATCTTGCATGCCCACTATTCCCCCAGCTGATGCCTGGACAAATGCAGCTGCCTACAGCTGAGGCTCATGTGGCTGCATATGCAACTCTATTGCCAAGATATTCATGGATATCTTCCTGGTACCTGGTTCTCATCCTAATGTATGCCTTTCCCTCAGGAACCATTAAAATTGGTTGAACCCAGACAGCAAAGGAAACATATTTTCTTTCTCTACTTTTACTGCACCTCTCTGCCTCACCACAAGGCTGGACCCCACAGACCCTCAGACATTTCAGCAGGCTGGCAGCTAAGTGGGACAAATAGTAAACAGAGGGAAGGAGGGAAAAAGGGGAACAGGTTCACGAGAGGGGCTGATATTTAGGGGAAATGAAGGAAAAACTAAATATTATACTTCAGGGGATTTGACCCCTTTGCCTTTTATTATGTGGAATCATGTCATACATTGCTGTTTTGGGGAATATACACATAGATATGTCCACGATACCATAACATTCATATTACTTTTATTTCCTTGTGAGCATCAATGAAAGTAGCAGATAGTGTCAAAATACTTTGCAATATGTTAAAAAAGCCCCCACCTAAGAACATGTAAAAGATTTTCTTGGCTGATACCAATGGCTGATTATTGATGAGGCATATCGGCCGATACCAATCCAACAGCCGATTTACAGGAATGCAGCCAGCAGCTTGGAGAGCAGCATCCAGTAGGAAGGTCTGTCAGGGTGGAAGAGGCATGGGGGACGCAGATCGAAGCCTCCATGGTGAGGCAAGGAGTGAGGCAGGGGCAAGGGCATGATCTGCCCAGCCAGGGCATGAATGTGACCCCACCAGGAGTGGAATGGAGCTGCAGGTGGCTCATCCGAGGGGCACAGGACAGCTCCCGCTGCTGCACGCACCCCTGAGGGATGCATGTGCGCCCCCCCCACCCTGGAATTGTGTGAGGGGCAAGGGTGAGCTGCCCACTGTGGGCTCAGGGCCAGGGGCTGCGCTGGCCTCTTCCCAACAGGGAGGCTGGGGCTGCGCTCGGGGCGGGAGGGGGCAGGGTGAGTAGCAGTGGTACTGGGAGGGGTGGCTACAGCCACCCCAAAATTCCCCGTAGTCAGCCTGTAGCCCCCCTCCCAGTGCCACTGCCATCCGCCCCACCCCGCACTTGCTTGGAGTGCAGCCCCAGCCCAACCCCACCACCAGGAAGAGGCTGGTGCAGCCCCTGACCCCAAGCCCGCAATGGGCAGCTCGCCCTCATGCTGTGCACAAACCAGGGGGGCACATGCCCCCCATGGCTTGCTCACGGGTGCGCACAGCGGCAGGGAACCACCCCCCACCCCACGCGCCCTCCAGATGAGCTTCCCATGGCTCTGTCCCACTCCCAGTGGAGTTGCACTCACCGCCCTGACTGTGCAGCACCTGCCCCTGCCCTACTCCCTGCCTCACCATGGGGGCCTCAATCTGCACACCCCCCTTCTCCCCTGATGCCCCTTCGCCCACAGACTTACTGCCAGACACTGCTCTCCAAGCTGCCGGGCTGCATTCCCAGCTGTGTGCATGCCACAGCTGCATGCATGCATGCACGCAGCATTTATCCCTGATATTATTGGCCAAAAAAAGCCGATTGCCAATTATGTTAATTTTCCTGTTATCTGTGCTGATTCGAAATGCGACTGATATACGGGTGCACCTCTACTTAAAACTGTAATAACCTTCATTTACCCCAGGCAGCAATCCATATTGAAATGGAAGTTCACACTCAAATCACTGCTGAAGAATTAACCACCTGCTGTTCTTTGCATCTCTGTTAAGTCTGAACAAATGCTGTAACTGATCAATGCAACATGTGGGGTATAGCAGCAGATACCCGGCCCTGCTGCAATGAGGTTAAGTGCAAGTAGGAGACAGCAGGGAAGGCTACAGAGTAGGAAACTGCTGAGGGGAAAGACAGCTGTGCACAGCTGCATTCTGCCTGATTCCTTGTGCTGCCCTGAATCGAGTCTGACCATCAACTGGATCTGGTGTGGGAGCCATAGGCTGACAATCCCTGCTCTAGGCTTGAAACTTAGTTTTGAATTTGTATTTACATCTTTTTTGCAATAGGAAGTTATTATCCTGCAGCACCAATTTAATGCAGTGAAGTCTCTTCTTCAGATATCAGCAAAGTCCTCAAATATATATCACCATATTTCAATTCCACACTGTTGAGCAAAGCACTTAAAGTTAAGTCTGTGGTTAAGTACTGCACAGAGCAGGGGGCTAAACTAGCTGACCACTAAAGCCCTTTTCCATCTTATTTATCTATGATTTCAGGTGCTTTGCTGAGTCATGGCTTCACATCATGTCAGTCCTTTAAAGTAAATAAATGGTGATGACACTGCTGACTCCTTTAGTTTAAATCAGGGCTCCTGAACTAGCAGCCCACAAGGAGTTAATTTATGGACTCATTCTCTCTCCCCTCCTACAACCTGGTTGCCCATGCCCTTTTCACTCTGCCTGCAGCAGCAGCGGGGGCTTAGGGCTAGTATTCACTGCCTAACCCAGCCTCTGGGAGCAGGGCAGAGCAGGGCAGCACAAAATGGCACAGCCCATGGTGCCAGGGAAGCCAGCAGCCCCAGGAACATCTGTGCAGCATGATGCCACTAAGGAGCCTGCAAAAAGCTGCAGGTGAGGCTGGGCACCTGCTTCTGTGCATGCAGTGCAGTGGGGTGAATGAGTACCTGTCCATGTGCTCAGTATAATGGGATTGGGAAGCACTTACCCACCTGGAAAACAGTACAACAGGGTAAAGAAATCACCTGTCCTCACTCACAGTGCAGTGGGCTGGGGAAGCACCCACCTGTGTGTGCAAGGTGCAGTCTGAGGGGGCCCATGGCCTCTGCTAGTGCAGCCCCCACTGATTCATCCCATGGGGCATACAGTCCCCAGCTGCTTAGAAGTTGGACAGCTCTGATTTAAATAATGTGATGACAACAAATTAATTTACAGCCAAATACAATAACAAGAAGTAAGGCAACTGGTATGAACAAAATGGTGATTCTATGAATTTAGTCACTCAAACTAATGAAGGAATATTGTTCTGTGCTACATAAAATGAACATATGTAATAAAGTGAGAGAAAACATACCTTCTTCTTTGCAAATGCATACTTCTTTCTCACACTGGCATCTAATTCCACTTTCAGCCTAGGTTTGGATGTGAGAGGAACAGATTCTTTCAGATCCAGATCTGGAAATTTTAATACACAAGACTCCACTTCATCTTCTCCAGCCAGCAGCTCCGAGGAGGAAATCATTGCTACAGCACCAGAGCTAGGCATAAGTTCCCTAAAGAAAAAAGGTGCAAACAACGTTTTAGTATGTACACTAAGTAACATTATTTCAGTTTCACATATACATTTAAAAGAAAAGAAACTCATTGTTAAAAAATATTTCTCTGCAGTTTTTTACTGTCACTGTCTTACAACAGCAAAAGAGTGAGCAAGCTGCAAGTTCTATCCTGTTATTAGGACAACATTTTAAGAATATACAACTGATTTCAAGGAAGAAGTAATCAAAGATCTGTCCTAAGATCCCCAGCATCAAATAACTGAGAGCAGAAATATCAGACTAAGTAGTGAACAGGAGACTTGTGCAGTCCCCTCCACACTTTAATTTTGCCAGATGGCTTTAAACCTAAGCAATAACTATTTTTTTAAAATCCTGGCCAGTTTACAACTGTGTGATGGATCAGTGGGTCAACTATTGCACAGGGGATTAGAGTTTGATGCTAGAAGGTACAGTTCTTCCTCCCTATAGGCCTCCTGTTCCCTCTGCTCTCATTTGCAGGAAGCTAATTCTGCTGAGTTTGGCTACTGAAGGAAGCATGTCTAACCCCACACCCTTCATCCTGGAAATGCTTTGGTTGAGGAACTATTTACAATTCACAACCTTTTTGCAACCATTTTTTTCCTAACAAAACAGCAGCTGCAAGGCATTTATCCCAGTGGTGAAACTATCAATACAAGTCAACCAAACCCACAAGATGCAGCAATGAACTAGGCAGAGGGATGTTGCATCTGGAACACTGGCTCTCAAACAGGGGGGCAGCGTCCCCCTGGAGGACCATGAGCACATTTCAGAGGGTCTGCCTGGCCCAGTCCCCCTGGGCTGAGGCGAGTCCCAAGGAAGGGGTGGGAGTGGGCTTGCCCCACCGTCTCCATCTTCTGGGTGGTGGCTGTGGGCAGGCAAGTGAGGCTCTGTACTGCTGCTGCTCAGATGAGTGGCCACCAAGTCCCACTCACTGCATCCAGGTATAGGTGAGGCAAGCCATGGAGGTTTTATAGCATGCTGGGGGAATGGGGTGAAGAAAAACGTTAGGAACTCTTAACCAGCACATGGTTCTGGCTGTGTCTGGTGTTCTCTCTCTTATTGTGAAACTTTTTCAGAAGGACCCCCCCCCAGCCTGAACCTCCACCAGGCAGGTAGCAGTTCAATGGCACAGCAAATTTCCAGAAAATGCAAACTATGTACCAGGTGTTCGCAGCGAGGGCCACGTAAAGCAAACAGGTTACGAGATGGTTTTAAACAGGCAAGTCTGTTGTCAGCGCAGAAGACAATGGGTACCTCCCTGAGCCAAGTCACTGCAGACACCCCATCTCCAGTGTCCCCCCTTGCTATCCTGCAATAGGTCCTCTGGCGCCTCAGGGGCTGTTGCACATTCAAATGAAAGCTGGATAGAAACCAGCTACAGATATCACCCATTTTCAAGAACTTTTTTGCTGGTTGGTTCTTTTTGTAGCCAAGGGCATTTTTATGGTGGGACAATTACTTTACACTTGCAGCTGGTCTAAACTTATTGTGCAACTGACCAGTGAATCGCAGAGCATACAGAGCGTGTAGCCAGGGCCTGGGCCAAAGGCCTGGCCCGTGGCGCAGGGCTGCAGGCCTGTCTCTCATCCGCACCCCTGGCAGCCTTCGGCGCCGCCAACTGCCTCCCGGCCCGAGGCAGCCTCGGCCGCAGCGCAGAGCTTGCCCCGCGGAGACGTGGTGGAGGCGGCCGGGCCCGAGCCGGACCCCGGCCCCGGCCGGAGAGACCGAAGCATTGGTTTCGGCCAAATGCCGAAGGCCGCGGGGAGGCACCGCCGTGACAAGTGCGGAGGCCGGGGGGGGGGCCCCGCCGTGAGTGGCGCGGCCGGGCCGGGCCGGGCGCGCTGTAGCCCACGGAGACATAGGCCTTGAGAGGAGGGGAGGGGCTGGGCCTCCCAGGAGAAGGCGGCTCTTACTCGGGCGCCGACTCAGGCTGCCGGCTCACGGCGACCGCAGCACTTGCTAAACTCTTAGTCCGAGCCGAGATGTCCCGGCGGTCTCGCGTGCCCACGTCATAGAGCGCCTGCGCCACTTCCGGGCTGGGTAGAGGGCGGCGGAAGCTACTGCGGAGCCTCTTCCTCCTCTTCCCCAGCCCTTTGCCCCGGAAGGCGCTTGTGGCCGGCCGGAAGTGGGGAGGGGGAACAGAGCGCGCCAGAAGCGCCCGTTGCCGCTGCGGCCTCCGCTCCGCGCAGCTTCTCGCCCACCCGCCCGCGCACGCGTCCCCGGTGCCGCCGCGCTTCCTGCCCGGGGGGCGGAGCGCCTCCCGGCGCGGCCTGGGCATCTGCCTGCGACCAGCTGTAGGCGCTGGGCTCTGGGATCCGCGCGCGGGTGAATGTGTCGGCCGCGTGCTGCTCTCGGTCCCGTGCCGGGAGCGTGGCCGCGTCTCGTTTTACTTTGGGGAAACGAATGCGAGCCTTATGTTCCCAAGGGCTTTGTATGGTTTGCTGGGTGTGGGGCAGGGGCCAGGGCCTGTCAGCCATTTGGGGTTCCTTGTCAAGTAGCAGGTGCTAAGTGCACGTCAGGAAAGGAACGTGTGAGGTAACGTCTGTGGAAGCAGTTCTGGTTGGCGTTGTATTTTTCCTAATGTATCCTATCTGCATCGGCAGTGCTGTGGGTCCTGCGACCCTGTGCAGGATCCTCCGATGTGGACCGATGTGGAGCTCTGCTGTCTTCCATAACTGCCTCTAACTGTGGTCAAACTCCTCCCGTGTCCTGGGCTGGATCTGCATTCTCTGGGCTGTATCCAGCCCAAGTCATGAGGAAGCAGCAGCTCCAACTCTGACCCAGAGCACATGGTGGTGGTGGTGGTAGCTCTCGCTCGGACTTGGGGTACACAGCAGCATCTCTGGCTCCAGTATGGGGCATGGGGCAGGGACCAATGGCCAGAGATTCAGGGGCATGGCAGGTAGGCATCGCATGCAGAGGGTGATTGGGGCTGTGTGAGCCCTTTCTCACCTTACTGTCACCAGTTGCCGCAGTCACCATGTCCTGAGGTCCATGGATTTGGCAGCAGGCCTCCCACTGCCCACTTTCCCCTGGTCATGACCCACAACTTCTGGGGGTCCAACTGCTGGTAGTCCCATAGTCCAGGTAGAATGGCTGTGTAGGGCAGACCTGGCCTGTGGGCCATGTTTGACACCTCTGGCCTATGATGTTATAGGGAAGCATTCATGCAGTATTACTTAGGATCTGTGGATCTGGCAAATTATTGTTGTATATAAGCCTTGCACATCAGTATACTGTTTAAAAGTGGCTATCTACATACACATTGTCCACCTAGATTTTGATTTTTGACACACTACACTAGATGAACAGAGAAGGCAGAAACAAAGGGTGAAATGTTTCTGTTAGCCTGTGAAGCTGTATTATAGACCAAAAGAGGCTTCCTATCACTCTGAAACTGTGAAATTCCTTTATAAGGAGTGATATGGACTAGCACAGCATGTCGGTACTATTCGCAACAGAATCCAGCAACAAGCACTGCAAAAAACTAGTGTGCTATTTCACATGGATCTTCTCCCTCATAGCAACCAGTAGTCTGCCTGATATCCTGGAGTTCTGTTCCATGTGCAGCTACTGGATAGACTGACTACAAGTGCTAGCCATATGCAGATGACTAACTGCTCTACTTTTACCTTTTTATACAGCCATCTCAGTATTACCAAGGTATCCCAGTGCCTTCACAAAATCAGTTATAGATGGACAGCATCTGTCTAAACATAAACATGACCAAGAGCTAGTGTGCAGCCTTCTTTGGTTAAAGATGACCACAGTAACTGGTCAGTTCAGTCTGTGGTATTGGTGAGGAGTGCAAGAACACAGATCAGTCTGTCACAGACTGTTTCTTGCTGCCTTGGCATCATCTTGTCCTGGCAGACAGTGACCCCAGTCTGTTCTACACACTTTTTGTCATTTCCCATCAGGTTTACTGTACACTTGAGGAATAAGCCATCAGCATTTAGGAAATCTGAACAGTAAAAATGCTGCAATATATCTTCTCAGTGATGTAGGCTGCAGTAGGGACATCAGATTGGCCCTCTGCTCTTTTTCTTTATAACATAAAATCAAGTTTAGGTCACTTTTCATGTTTTCAAGGTGCTCAGCTGCTTGGAGTCAGTGCATCTAAAGTGTTATCTATGGCTCTGGGGAGACTGTTGTTGACAGTTTTGCTGTTCTGGCATGGTGGAATCTTCTGCCCAAATGGGAAAACATGTTTGTGCAGGGAGTGCATTCTTGTCTGGAATTAACTTCCTCGGGAATAGAGGACTAGCATCAGCCTTACCACCTTCTGCTGCAAAGACAAAGTGCGTTCTACCTGGCTTGTCAAATGGACAGAATGACATGTATGCTTTAAGAAATAAAACAAGATGAGCTAACTTTATGTAAAAATCTCCTCCCACCACTACCTCAGGAGAAGACAGAATGGCAACATTGGCTTAAAGCACTGTTAGAGTATGTTCAGATATTAGTGACATGAACAACGTAACAGTATGTAGGAAAAAAATAGAATAGGTTCAGCACTTTGGGCATATATAATTAAAAATGAATTAATAATAAAATTCTGCATGGGTAGAGAATCTACTATTTTACCACTTGGGTTTTTTACCTTTTACTAGCAGAGATGAATTCCAAATCATTGTTTCAACTTTTAAACCCTTTTAATAAGTCTCCGTTTTATTTTTAGTTTGCCAGTGTCAGACCCCTAAAGGTATTTAGGAACTTAACTTTTGGATTTAGTCTCAAGTGTCTAGTCATTTTCCTAAATTAAAAAAGTGTAAATACATTAAAAGGGATCTATGATACAATCCCTTGCTCAAGGTTCATCACATTTTAACATAGGTGTCAGAGAACACAATGAGATGCTTAATAGGGAACATAAAATTAATAAAGTTAATTCTCCAGTCATTTTTTTAGCTTTATAATATGCTATTATTGGCATTGTGAAATTACTTCCTAATAAGATGTCAAAATTGGGCATTGTATGAAGAGTAAGATTTGTGTAGAAGTACAAATGTTGTCTTTGTTATTTTTAACATTTATTTGGTCTGTCTTGGATAACAGTAGTAATGTTGTGTGTCCTTGGTGTAGTAAAAAAATAGAATGAGAATGGGGCTGACAGAACCGTTAAGCAAACTCTTAAAAATTAAGCAAGGAATAATTTTAACCTTTATTCTTGATTTTTATTAATATGTTGAAACAGGGCAAACTCATAAAAGGAGGAGAACATCCGAGCCATCTGAAATTGAAGAGAGACTAGAATCTTTAATATGCAGAGTGGGTGAGAAGGTAAGAGTTAGCAGTAAGTTATGGTCCTTAACATGCTTGGGCACAAGATTTCTGGCATCTGTCTTTTTTTTTTAATAATGCTGAGTTTGAATTCAATTAAGAGTCCAAAAAAAATATCCAAAAGTAATTGTGAAAAATTACCTACTCAAAATGTTGTCAACTTACTCTGTAGTGGGGGCTTGACCTTCTTCCTTAGTTCTCTTGAGTGCATTTTAACATCCTTGCAGCAGTTAGACACTGACTTGTCTCTCTGTTTCACTTGTGGTAGGGTAGGGTGCTTTTGATGTCTTTGGGCAATTTGCCTTGCAGTTGTGTGACAAGGTTGATTTGTGTAGAGTTAGGAATGGGTTAGATAAGGGATGGTATGTAATGATCCAGCCTCAAGGAGCTTGGACTAGACCTCTGGAAGTCCCTTCGAGCCCTACTTTTCTTTCTACCAAAGTAATACTTAATGTTTGGAAGCTTAAATTTCTTTCTCCTTTTGCTGAAGTCTTTTCAGGATAGAATTCTTAAATCTAAGTTTCTTATTTCCCTAAATAAATTTATCTTTCATAGTCTGCTACTCATGCAAAAGATTTGTTGACACTACAATAGGTAGTGTTTGGAATAATAAAGTAAAGCAAGCTAGACTAGAGCATTCATTTTAATTGCTGTAATTCTACCTAACCATGAAATTTCATATTTTGGCCAGTTCTATAAATCTGTTTTAGAATCTTGTTTCAATCAAAGGAATAAAATTGTAGCTATACAAGTCCTGCCTTTTTTTTTAGTAGTATTCCCCCTTCGGTATTTTAATGAAGTAGTTACCCATTTATATTTATAACTGTCTCTCTTCATTGATCTGGTCCTATACCAATGTCTAGGAGTTGTGACTTTTCGTAGTTAACTTTAAACCCAGAAACTTTTCTGTGTTGTTTTTCTCCTTTTGTGGTTCAGGTAGTAGGTTAATTGGTTTTGTAATGAACAGAGATCTGGGTGTTCTCTTTGCCGCAGAAAAACCCAGATTTTCTCCTTTAAAGGAGAAAAACGTGGGAAACTGTGGGTTTCCATTTGATGGCTGAGAGAATTCCAGCCTGCAAGGGGCTGCTTGGGCCTGGGGGGAGCAAGACTCAGAGGGTGCCACATGTAGTACAGACAGTGGTGGAGAGCAGTTCCCCCAGCTGCCTGCAGGTAAGTCTCATGGGGGAGGTCATAGGTAATGCGAGGGGCAGATTGAGGCCCCCATGGTGAGGGGGGAAATGGGGCAGGGTTGGGGACTGGGGGTGCTACCCAGCTGGGGTGGTGCGCAGGGCCTGGGCGGAATGCACAACTGCAGGGCCCGCTGGGGGAGTGGAACAGAGCCACAGCTGGCTCATCTGGTGAAGAGGAGGGCTGGCTTCTCACCTATGTGTGCACTCCCAGGGACAGGTTGTTGTACCAGAGGCAATGCATTGGGGAGGGCACATGGGCTCAGGGGTCCCTGCTCTGCTGCATTCCCCCTGGCTTCCACAGTCCAACAGGCAGGAC